GGTGTGAGTGTGGGTGTAGTTAGAGAGAAGACTCTCATCCATGTCTACTCACCCACACCCACACACTCTATTCCTAAGAAACTTGGTCATGTTATAAAAAATGGTGGAGAACAAATATGTACTAGTTAAATAAGATTGTTGTATAATTAGATTATTATATGTATTTATAAACCAAAGTTTTTTTTTGAATAAAATATCATATTGATCGATTTTGAAAAATTTATCATTACATTTTTTTGTTGATATTTTCATTGATACAAGAGAAGATTTCATCCAATAATATACCACTTGATGGACCGTCAAGAGTACTCAAAGCTGATACAAATGCATATAGGTTAGAAGTTGTTCTCGATGTGCATAGAAACTAACTTTGTCGCATATTAAAACTTGTGAAACACCCTGTATTATAGTTTTTTGAGAGAAGTCACTAAGCTTCATCATATCTAGCTTGTAGATACATCGTGTTACCCGTATCACTAAGAGTTCTACCAGCATTCGCATGAATGCTTGGATTGCATTTCTCTTTGATCACTAGTGCTTGTTGTTGAAATTCAAATGCTTTATCGTACTGTTTTTGTTTGTTTAAATTGTTTGCGATAGAATTAAGACACGAACCTGTACTAGCATGGACATTCGGATAGAATTTCTCATATATTTTTAATACCCTTTGCTTCAACTCGAAGGCTTCATCGTACTTTGTTTGTTGTTCTAAAACATATCTGATGTGTTTTAGATTATCAGCAATTTCAACTTAATCAGATGGACAAAATTGTTCTCTGATGGAAAGTGCTTGTTGATAAGTTGCGATAGTTTTATCATACTATTTTAGATGCACTCGAAGATAATCAATCTTTTTAAGATCATTCGCAATTTTTTTATGATCTGATGAATAATGTTCTTCGCTCATTGCTAATGCTCGTTGTCGATAAACGAGTGCTTCATCATATTTTGTCTTGATCGCAAAGTGCATTAGCGATATTACGAAGAAGAGTAGTATTGTTATTATAGTCAGATAAATTAAGTTCTTCAAAGATTGTTAATGCTTGTTGATAGTAATCAAGAGCTTCATCGTAGTTTTTTTTTTGGTTTCTGAGGATAATACCCATTTCGTTGAGAATCCTAGCAATTTCTAGACGATTTAAAGAACAATTGGTTTCTTGTATACTAAGTGCTCGCTTTTGAAAAGGATGTGGGTGTGTGCGTGCGTGTAGTTAATAGTCTTTTCGACACTCACACTCACAACCACATCCAACACACACAGTCACACTCCGCTGAAAAGCTTTTTCTCTTGTTGTACGACTTATCTCTCAGCAGAAAGAGAAAGAACATCGATTATTCGTTGAAGATTATATTGTAATTCGTGTTTCTTCATACATAATTCATTTCAAACGATAACAAAAAATGGCGACTCTATCATATTCATGTTTCGTTCATTAATGCACAAGTCCGTCATGCATCGTGTGCACTCATTCTGATCATTACTTTTGCGATAATTATTTGAACAAAAAAAAGCATCAACTTATTGAAAAGCTGCCTCATCTAGCTGATACCGTTGATAAACTTGTCGTTCGATTATCGTCTGTCGAATAAAACCCGTCGGATTGGTCTCGGACCCACACTCGCTCGGGTCCGAGTCTGAAAATATTTTGTTAAGCAGATCCAGGTCCGAGTTCGAAAAAGGTTTGGACCCAGTGGGTCCTAATGGTATGAGAAATGTGCAGTTTATGCTAGTCACCGAATGCAAAAAATCGGGAGAAAGCATCCGATATCTTCGGAATGATTATTCAATTACAATTAAACCTTTCCCCACAAAAGAAGATCCATTATAATTGAAAACTTTGCTTGGAGAAACAATGCGGTGGATGTAATAGAAGGCGTTCTATATTAATTGATTTTTCGAATATCCGAAATTTAATTAGTGCCATTATATCAAAAGATGCTTGGTTTTCAGGGATTCGAGTTGAAAATCTTAAAAGACTGAGATCAATGTTTTTTTTTAACTTTTAAAACCATAAAAATCTAATCTCAAATCCCTAAAATTATTTTGGTTTTCTGAAAAGCTTTTTTAATTAAAAATTATGGAAAAAAATGGAATACAATTGAAGATCACTTTGAAAATTTTGTATGCTTGGACACAATAGGAGAACCGGGATCTTTCGTTACGGGGAGGGTTTAGAAAATTTTTGTTGAGAATATCAAAGTCGGGTTCGACCGAGTCCGGGTCCAAAACTTTTGAACCCGACGGGCTCTACTGTCGAACCATTCTATCTGGAACAACTTGAGCAATGACATGAAGCGGCTGACTATTCTGTCGATGATTATTGTGAAAAAAAAGCGTCACAACTTAAAAAGAATAAGATATAGCCCAAGATTAATTCGCTTTAATCAATCACAATATCCAATTAGAAAAGATCAAACTCAATGAATTTGAACATCTTCGATTTAATTTTTATCCATTAATAATCGATGAGAGTCTTATTGCTCAACGATATCTCTTTCCTCTATCTCATTCAAATCAAACAATACATATAAAAACTGGTATCGAAAGTTCCGTTGGCACAAATGAGAAAACACAATCTCATCAATCGAGAAGGGAAATATTTGTGTTTACTCGATCGAAATTTAAGTCTTGCCAACGAAACGCCATTTACTCACGAAAGCATTCATAGTGTTTGTTGATCATTGACCATCGCTCGCTTTATCATCATCACTTTCGAAGAAATTTTAATGTTCGTTGAGAAAACAATGATACTCGAAAGTGTTCTATCTGCAACATGTTCAGATAACCTTTTATTCTTGTTGACAGCAGAATGGGGCTCATCAATTTATGAATTTAACCTTGGATTTGTGCTTAAATTCATCAAGGAATGTTATGTGCTTGTCATTTGCGAAAAGAACGAGATTATTTATGGTCTCAAATACAATAACGGCTTTCTCGCTGATCCTATCTTCAGCAAACACAGGTATGAGAGTCGTCTTGATCTGCGCTCATTAACGACGTTCGACTGTATCTGGTCAATTCCAGAGATCCGACACATATAAATACAGCAAGTACAAGTATTGTACTTTTACTTGTGTTTTTTCAACTATACTTACTCCTGTACTTGCCCTTGTACTTAAATACAAGAAAAACAACGTTGTACTTTTACTTGCAGTACACAAGAAACTTCGGCGTTTTTTGCATTTCTTTCCTTTTTTAACAGTTGTTGCTGACTTATTTGGCTGAAATTTACTAGTGTCTTAGCTGAGAGATTGTAGAATATTCTGATAAATTGTTAAAAATCATCCATTTACTCTGTTGCAGCACTGCATCATTAGTAGCTCTCTACCAAATTGGCTTAAAAAGTCTTCAAGAATGCAGATTCGTAGTTTATTAATCAAAAACAAAGACTGCTTTACTGAGCTTTCAAACGTTTTGTGTCATACTTCAAAGATTAAATAGAAAATTAGATCTGAAATTTGGCCGATGGATAACTACGACACATCTTAATCTTCCCGAGAGCTTTATCAGAAGTTTTTTATTCAGTTCTTTCCGATGATTTTCTATTCTACTTCTATATGTATTTGAACGATTTTTTTTTCCAAAGCTATTCAATGCTTTGAATTTGTTTTATATATATAGATGTCGACGAATGTAGCTCAAAAGTGAAGACGGACTAATTAGTCGTAGATGAAACAATATAATACCGCATGTGTGACAAATGAGAATTTTCACGATAAATTACATCTGTTCCACGAAAGAGACAGGCGGAAGACTTGAAACTCATGAAACATGTTCAAGGATGACGGTGCACTGTCATATATCTGACGAAAAAGAAAGATACTTGACAATACTTTGAAAAGTTTTGTTTTGTACTTGAAATAAAAGTACGAAGGTTTTTTTCTGTACTTAAGTACAAGTCCAAGTATAGGGGTAAGTATACTTGAAAAAACACAAGTAAAAGTATAGCTTTGAAAAGTTGTACTTATACTTGAAAAAGTACAAGTACATCTACTTTCGTCCTGTTTCTGGTTTGTTCGTATTCATGGACGCTGTTGTTCAATTGATGATGATCAATGTTTGGTTATGGTTCATGATGTTTGTCGATTCTTTCAGATCTCAGCCGACGGGCGACTTTTGAAAACAAACACATGACGAACATGAACGACTTGGCGATATCATTCCGTAGGGCAAAAATGGCATTTTCGTCTTGACTAAGAAAAGTGTTAACTCGCATGAACTTTGATAAATCAGACTTTTTAAAGAATAAAGATAGAATATTAGTTTATTTGCTGAGAAATAATTGAAAAAGTATCACAGTTGTCAACAAAATTTGAAGAACTCAGGAAGATATGTTCGAAAATAATCGTTTCTAGGGTGAGACTTTAACATAAAAGTCAAAATTCAGTATCAACACATGCATTTCATCCCATGACTAAGTAAGATAGTGTATTACGCTAGACAAAATTGTTTTAATATTTTTTGTTTTTTGAAAAATTTTAGATCTATCAATTCATACAGTCAAGAGTTTTCATTTCTACAAAAGCAAAAATACAGCACTGAGAAAAAAAATAATGCGTTACAGTTATTAATTATTGATTGAAATAGTGTATTATTCTCCGTAACCGCTAAAATTACCACATCCGTCGCTGTATCCTTCACTACATCCACCACCATCGACATCCATATCAATATCGCATTGACTTTCTCTACTTTCGCTACATTCATCACGTTCGCTGTCTGAATGACGTCTATTGCTACTTTCTCCACCCCCATCACCAGGATCTCCTCCGTCAGCTCTCTCTCCCTTGATTGTTCCACTACCATGACTGATACCTCCACTGATATCACCATATTCACCGGTTGCATATATAGCAATTGGTGGAATTATCATTGCACAGGAGCTAATGAGTCGAAATTTTCGTAAATAACCTTTGTCAATAGTCTTGCCATAATCTGTTTTATAAGTCATCTTACATTGATGAGCCGTTTTCTGATAAGCATCTGTTAGAAGATTTTGTTAAATAAAATCATTATGATCAAGAATAGAACCGCACAAAGCTATAGAAGCTTTCTGAGAATGTGAAGGAAATCTCATATGTGTATGCCATATTAAATCAATATCAAACGTCGGTACAATAATTTCGTTTTCTTTGGATAATTTCAAAAATGACACATAATTTTGTACCATTTGTTCGAATAAATTTCGATTCATATGTTGTAAATCCATTGAAAATAAATAATGTTTTTTGAAATTTTCCAGAAAAGTACGTTGATAAAGTATGGCACTAGTTAGATCAAGCGAAGGAACAAATTTCAAATGTCCTCTTATCGATTCGGATGACACATTTAAATGATGTTTTTGATATTGTTCTATTGTTAATCTTAGACATCTTTTATCGACCAACTGACCACTTGACAATTGTCGAATACAATCATTATTATAGGCAATTGGATGAAGTCGATGAACATGCCAAATCCAGTCAATTTGCCAAGGAAGTTCTAATTGTTGATGAATAGTCATCATAGTCTGGTCAGACATACGTTTACAATAGTCTTCGATATAATAATCTAACACTTCTCCTTTTTGAATCATTTCTTGGTGTGCGATCACTTGACGAAGTAATAAAATATGATCAATTAATTCAAAATTCGATATTTCAAATGTTTGGCTATCACTTGTAACAATAGTTGCATCAAAATGTGGTATTAAGTGTGAGAAGAATGCATGTGAATTGCCCATGTTTCGTTAATATTGCCGGGTTTTCAATATGAATTTTGTCTTGAACTAAAATAGTTCGATACTCATGCTTTTCAACAAATCGAGCAATGGATAAAGCGCGAATGATGATATGGGAAAATTCCCTTGTAGTCAGAGGCACAAATACCGGAGGTAGGAGGTGCACCCCAAATATTGAAAATTGAGCGTCTTTTTGCTTAGCAACAGTTGTAAAAGGTCTGCTGTTCTGGCCCTAAAATTTTCGCTTCCGGACGCCAAAAAATCGCTCACCGATTCGAAAAAGTTCCCCTCCCCCCTCTAATTTTTAGATCTTATTTGAGCCTCTAGTTGTAGTTCAATATGAATTAGCTCATAACGTCAGAAAACTCTTTCAGGCTATTTGACAACAGTTCTCAGTTCTTCAATAGTATGATACTTCATTGATAACTTCTGTACAAAAAGTCGTGGCACAACATTAAAACGCATATTTATCCGTTAGGAAAAATGCTTTTTCAATCGGAACGTGTGTTTTAAAATCTGCACAATGTCATCTCTTCTAATCTTTTCTTTTCAGAAATTGTTTAATATTTTTCGTCCGAAAACTACAGGTGTTTTATTAGGAGTACTAAAAAATATCTTTGTACAAGCAAAAATCCAGTTATTTTGAAGATGTGCTGTACCTGATATTACTCTTAATGAGTTTTCCTTATCATATTCAGATTATAGAGCAAATATTTATCTTCAAATCTATCTATCTCAGGTCTTGACAGTATATTTCTGTAAAACGTTATAAACATTTGAAGGTACAGCAATGCTAAAATGAAAAAAAGTGTAACTTTTACAACAGAGGCCTTTTTTAAATGTGTATAGCGTTTCAATAAAAAATAATTACAGAAGATTGAGCAACATACGATTTTGTAGAGAAATATTCACTCGATAATTTACCAAGAGAACTAAAATTTTTTGTGTTCAATGTAACGTACTTATTGCTTACTTTATAAAAATTGTCTCTTTTTTTCCTAATATCAACACATTTTTAGCATTCTCAATAAAACATCTGTAGTTTTTGAAAGAAAAATGCTAAAAAATTTATGAAAAAAGATTGGAAAAGATGACATCATGTAGATTTTTAAATATACGTTATGATTGAAAAAGCATTTCTTCTAACAGAGAAATATGCGTTCTAATCTTGTGTCAAGACTTTTTCTACAGAGATTATATTCATCCACTTATGTAATGATATTCTACTTTTTTTTGTTAACAACTTGCAAACATGAACCCCTCAATGACATCAACGTTCACAAATATTTTGAGGTATAACCTACTATGTTTGTTTGGTGAGAAATGATTGATTTAATCGACCGAATGTCAATATAGAGAAACGAACATCATAGCTGTTTCTTCTTGTCTCTCGACATTAAATTTGCAAGCTGGATGGCTCATTATATTTGAAAGAGTGGTATTTAACCGTACGAAACATTTTGCCTTATCTATCGTAAAAGAGTAGACATATACCATTTCAGTTTCCTTTTCTCTCTGTCCATTTTTTATCTCATGACAGAACGAAAAAGAGTATGATATTCATTAATCTCTTCTCTTGTTCTTCTAGTCTTTTCTCAATTTTTTACTGTTGTCAATAGCTAAAATTTGTGAAGATTATATGAATTTAATAAATAACATCAAATCCAATAGCTCAACATCACGTTACATAATAAATTTGAATTTTCAGGAAAGAGGAACTCGTCACCATCTCTCCAAGTCTGACAGGGCAATGACGGAAAAGTTGTGCATTATTAACAAATGGAACAAAAGTAAATGACGATGGGAATATTATAAAAAAAAGGGTGTGGGTGTGGATGACAGAGAAGAAGACGCTCACACACCCGCACCCGCACCCACACCCACACCCACACCCTCTGATGAAGTCGAGTCGTAAATAATTATTAATGTCCAGATTTGTCAAATTCCGTCGATTATTTGTGAGTATGAATGTTGTTTTTTTCGAACAAATGAAAAGTTCAATTCAATACTAAGAAATAAAATGTATCGATCAGGTTCAAGTTCGAATAGAGAATATAGAAATCTTTCAGTGATCGTCACATGCATTGCAAATGAAATTAATTTATTTCGAGTTGGAACCAATCAACTGCTGTTGATTTTTTTTTCTTTTTCTTGACAGATGACGGTGACGAAAACAAAAATTGAATATATGTTGTCATTCGAGAAAAGAAAGAGATTCGGTAAAGAAGACTGTTTGTTCGATTTCAACGCGTCGTTTGCTTAAGGTAATGTAAGTTCTTTTTTCGTTTACCGTCATTATTTCAGGACATAAACAACATCGTTTGTTAATATAGCGACAGGAAAGAAACGAAAGCAATTGGTGAATAAAAATCCGGTGTATTAATCAATAGTACTATTCTTATTTGCCAGTGAATTCAAAGTCTTGGTTTTTTTCAATAAAGTGATCATTTCGTTTCTCTTTATTTTTTAGACTTTCTTGTTGTTCTATTTGTGTGCTCTGCTATTGAATGGAACTAAATTTCGATGAAATAATGATCAATAAGTTTGCTTTCAGTGCACGATTAGAGATTTGCTCGTTTAATAAAAACATTTTATATTCATTTAGATGACAAACTGGACTTCATGAATATTACTTTGAAAAATTTCATGAAAAAACAACAAGATTCATATCTCATAAATAGATAAGGACGTATCATTTAAAAGAATTTAACTATCCCATGTCTTATTTACATGTTTAATATCATCAAAAGTGTAGAACTTGATTAGAAAAACAGAGCTTTTACACTTTAGGACCCAACACAATCAACTTTTTAACTCTAACTCACACTTTCGTGCTTGTGTTGTAGCCGAGCAAATGCCTGAGGTTTTGAAATATAAAAGCATCGAAAAAAAAATTTTATTATTCTATGATGAAAAAAACCAACCATTAAAACTTTTTAGAAATTTTTCCTTGTTAAAAAAACTCTCGAAGGTTGTTGTTGAACAAATAGTTTGTTAGAATAATCTTTGACAGAGTAATGAGTTATGTATTCATGATTTTATTTGTCTAGATAAATGTCAATCTCAAAATAAGCACAAACAGGAGAAGGAAACAACTCAGGTCGAACGATACGGTTCATATACTATATAATACGGCCTTGCATTACTGTGTCCACAATTACGAGAGAATACAGCTCCGTTACAATGCCATATGAAGCAAAGTTATAGTGAAAATACGGATAGCCGTATCCATTAACCTGAAAAGTTTTTAATTTCATGATGTGTTAACAAATATTAATCCAACAATAACATATACGGAAAGTAAAAAAGGTAGTAATTTTGAAGAATTATTTCATGGCAATAGACTAAATTTTATATAGTTAGTTAGTGATAACTTTTTATCCACGGAATGTGTTTCAATCGTTGAAAAGAAATATGATGTTGTCGGACTAGCTGATATATCTCAACTGTTAAAATATTTACGATCGATCATTCGAGTTTCTCATGAACAAAAAAGATGCAATCGAATGTTTAACGAGTTATAAATTGATAATTTTTGGTAAAATATCACTAATTACTCAAGTCAATGGATACAATTCGTATACGGCCGTTTACGATTACTTTACGTCGCATAAACAAGCCGTATCAGAATGAGATTACGGCACGTATACCACCGTATACGTTGCCGTATTACTGTGTCCACCATTACAAGAAAACACGGTCGATTTACAATGTCATATGAAGGAAAGTTACGGTGAAACTACAGATAGCCGTATCGATTGACCTGGACAATGATGAATTTTATTACGAAAGATTTCCTTCCGCAGATGTAGTTGAAGAGTATTGGAAATTTTCTCGCTGAAATGCAATTCATTTAGGACATGTGAACTTTATTCCAGATGTTTTGTAATTAAATCATTATTATGTAAATATTACTTGAAATAAAAATAAATTTTGTTTGAAATTTCTTGTGATAAACCTAACAACAATTTCGCATCAATATTCATGTAGCTCTGATCACATTGTTATATATATTAGATTGTTATTTATACAGTATCTTTATTAGGACTGGTTATCAGACCATATTCTCAATGAAAGAAAATGAAAGAAAATGATTTTGGTTTCGAATGTCATGTTAGAAAATTATGCAAGTTTAACAGAACTGTTCAGTAGCTTTTCAAAAGAGTTTTCAGAAAAATTAATTATTTTAGTTTTATTTTATCTTCCGAATGAATTTAACCGAGTGTTTGAGGTGTTTTCAATTCCTACTTTGTTTACAATGATACTCTTAATAGATTAAGAGAAAAGAAACGTAACAAGATGCATCGGTATGTCCTATTGATTAAGCATGATGTTTGTTTTGATGTAGTCATGGCGTGAAAATTTTCACAACACACGGATCTGATGTAGGTGTGACTGTTGCCCAGTGACTTAAAAAATAAAAAAATATTGATCTAAATGGTTTTTCGTTAAAGAGATTTCGTGCTTTCTGTTATTTCAGGAATATCAACACCATTGCCTTCGTTTGATAGTTTTTAGGTCTTTTTTATTTCATGAATTCGATTATTCCAAAAGAATAAAAAAAAAGTCCATTATTTTTGTTACTTTGGCATGATTTTCGTCACAAGATTTTGATGTTTCTGAAAAACTGGAATCATCGTATTATTTTCATTATTTCGAAAGAACTACCCACTCAGTGACTGTAAAAAAAATGGAAAACCTTTTATGGCCTTTATAAGTTTTATCTCAGAACATGGAAAAAATTGTTTTTGATGATGAATCGAATAAAACAATTCATAGTTTTTCAAATTCATTGATTAAAAGCGGCATTTTAATCAATGAATTCGAAATGCATCAAATTTTTTGTCAGTTTTCTGCAATTTAATCAATTTTTTGTTAAGTATTTAGACGAGTGTGAGCGTGACGTGTAGGTGTGCGTATGACTCATTACTTCGCTCATACTCAAATTCACATCCTTTTTGGCCAATCAAAGCGAGTTTTTTCAGAGATTAAGCATTGTTCTC